CCTAACGCAGCTGTGAACCAGCCAAACACAACGACCTTGAGTTCCAGCAGCAACTAATGACATCATTAGCATTTAATCAACATTCTTCTCATACCAAATCCCACTCTGACCCTAAACCACTAATGACCAAGAAGAAAATTAACTCTGTCCCAGCAAACCCAGGACAGGGGTGCAGGGAGAGCATCTCACGTGGTGCTTTTCTCCAGTCTGGAGGTCTGGAGGCTGAGGGACGTGCTCCTGGGTCAGCTCTGGAGGCTGAGGGACGTGCTCCTGGGTCAGCTCTGGCGGCTGAAGCACGTGCTCCACGCTCAACTCCGGCGCCTACGTGTTCCATGGTCAGCTCTGGAGGCTGAGGGACGTGCTCCTGGGTCAGCTCTGGAGGCTGAGGGACGTGCTCCTGGGTCAGCTCTGCCCCTGGAACCTCCTCCCTTTCCCACTCTCCTCCTCTCCTTCAGCGAGGTTCTTCTCGCTCGGTTGCACACCATGTAGCCCCACAGAGTCACAATACAGCTCAGGGCCTCGGCACAACCACGACACACACCAAACTAGTCCATGGTGGGAACTGGTTTGTGGTGCAGCAGCTCCTCTGGTTCTGGAGTGGCCTGGAGGGAAGAGAAGCCCTGACTTACTCCCAGAGAGTGGTTGCATTCCTGGAGAGATAGAATCCCAGAATCCTAGGCTGGTTTGGGTTGGAAGGGACCTTCAAGCTCCTCCAGTTCCAACCCCCCTGCCAGCAGCAGGGACACCTTCCACTAGACCAGGTTGCTCAAAGCCTCATCCAGCCTGGCCTTCAACACTTCCAGGGAGGAGCAGCCACAGCTTCTCTGGGCAGCCTGTCCCCTGGGATCCACACACTGTAGCTCCAGGAGTGGAGCAGGATCTGCAGGAGAAGGACTGGCTCTGGAAATGACTTTTCCCTGTAGAGCACAGAGACTCTCCAGTTCTGCCTCTGACCAGGGTCACCAGAGCTCTTGGGCTTCAGGGACCTCAGCCCTGCAGAAGAATTATGTCTCCAGAAGGGAGTTCTGCTGCTGAGGACCCTGGTGGAGACCCTCACTCCAGTTGTTCATGAGCTCAGAGCAGCTGTAACTTCATTTGGTGTCAACCAGAGCGCTGAGCGTTGGGCTCTTTAGAGAACCAGGTTTTAACTCCTTAAAATCCCAGCTCCCACCATCCCTGACACCACAGCTCCCACCGTCCCTGACACCGCAGCACTTCAGGGTGATCTCAGTCCTGGGGGAGGGGGGGTGCAGGGCTGTGTCTGCTGCAGTGACACTCACCTGCGTGTCTCACCACAGGTGCCCCCAGCAGAAGCAGCGTCCCGTCCTCCCCCGTGTTCAGCAGCAGCGACATCATTCTGTGCCAGCTCACCCACACCGTCTCCTGCGCCCACCAGAAGCCCATCACGGCGCTCAAGGCTGCGGCTGGACGGTTGGTCACCGGCAGCCAGGACCACACGCTGAGGGTGAGGCAGCGTTACTGGTGAGGTGTCCAACTGGGGGGAGTCCAGCTCCCCTGAAGCTCCCTCTGTTAAACTCATCTGCCTGGATGGGGCTCCTGGCTGGGGTTAGAAGGACACAGCCCTGTGTGAGGGGTCGTTGCAGAACCACACAGAATGGCCTGGATTGGAAAAGCCCTTTGAGATGATGGAGTCCAACCATGAACCCAACACTGACCAGTCCCCTATGACTAACCCATGTCCCTCAGCACTGTGTCTACACGACTCTTCAATCCCTCCAGGGATGGGGACTCCACCACTGCCCTGGGCAACCCCTTCCAATGCGTAAGAACCCTTTCAGCAAAGAAATTCTTCCTCACATCCCATCTCAACTGCCCTGGCCACAACTGGAGCCCATTTTGTCCTGTCACTTGTCAGCCTCAGGAGATATCATGCTGCCCCACAGTGCTGACATAGAACCCCAGACTAGTTTGGAGGGGAAGGGCCCTTAAAGCTCCTCCAGTTCCAACCCCCCTGCCAGCAGCAGGGACACCTTCCACTAGACCAGGTTGCTCAAAGCCTCATCCAGCCTGGCCACAAACACTTCCAGGGAGGAGCAGCCACAGCTTCTCTGGCCAACCTGGGACACTGGCTCACCACCCTCACACCAAACAATTTCTTCCTCACATCTCAGCTCCAGCTCCCCTCTGACACTTTCAAGCCATCACCCCTTGTTCTCTCACTCCCTGCCCTTGGCCAAAGTCCCTCCCCAGCCTTCCTGGAGCCCCTTCAGGTACTCAAAGGCCACTAGAAGGTCTCCCCGGAGCCTTCTCCTCTCCACCATCTGCCTCCTCTCCCCGCAGGTGTTTCGGCTGGAGGACTCGTGCTGTCTGTTCACGCTGCAGGGTCACTCGGGAGCGATCACAGCCGTGTACATCGATCAGGTAACGTGCAGCCGGGTCCACACCTCAGAGAACATCCTCAGATAACAGCTGCTGAGCTGCTGAGCTGCAGAGCTGGGACCCTTCTCCGAGTTCCCTGTGGAGAAGCTGGTGAGAGCTCCTCTGAGGAGGCTGTGACCGTGCGCTCATCCTCTGCCTCTCAGACTGAACCATTATTGCCCATCCAGCTCGTGGTTGGGAATGTTGGTTGGATGTTCTCAGCCAGGTTGGATGAGGCTTTGAGCAACCTGGTCTAGTGGAAGGTGTCCCTGCTGCTGGCAGGGGGGTTGGAACTGGATGATCTTTAAGGTCCCTTCCAACCCAAACCAGTCTGGGATTCTATGATTCCTTTCCTGGAGGTGGTTTGTCTCCTCTCCTCCACGCAGACTTTCCCTGCCAGCTCCCCTTGGGACAGGAGAGTCACCCACCCCTCTGCTCTTCACAGCCCTGGTAGATGAACTGAGGTTTCTCTGCAGCTTGGGGTTTTGTCACCTCCAACCTCCTCAAATGCTCCTACAAAGGCAGGGAAGCCCCTGAGCTGGCACATCCCACGTTCCTGTGCCCTCCTGCAGCCGGGGAGCGTGGCTGGAGTGCTCACCCGTGGAACTCACCTGCCTGTTCCCGTGTCCGTGTCCCCGCAGAGCCCCAGGGTGGGATGGAAGGGACACTGTCCTCCGTGGTTCCTGACCCCGTCCTGTCCCTGTCCTTGCAGACAATGGTGCTGGCGAGTGGGGGCCAGGACGGTGCCATCTGCCTCTGGGACGTGCTGACGGGGAGCAAGGTCAGTCACATGTACGCCCACCGCGGGGACGTCACCTCCCTGACCTGCACAACCTCCTGCGTCATCAGCAGCGGCCTGGACGACGTCATCAGCATCTGGGACCGCAGCTCGGGGATCAAGCTCTACTCCATCCAGCAGGTTGGTAGATGGGGAACAGCTGGGAAGGGTTCAGGCAGCTCCTCTGCTTCTTTTGGGTTCCACCAAACCACGCAGACCCCTTCTGCTGGGCTCCTAGGTGGGGGAGAGCAGCGTTCTGGAGTTGTCTGGGTTGGAAAAGCCCTTTGAGATGATGGAGTCCAACCATGAACCCAACACTGACCAGTCCCCTATGACTAACCCATGTCCCTCAGCACTGTGTCTACACGACTCTTCAATCCCTCCAGGGATGGGGACTCCACCACTGCCCTGGGCAACCCATTCAAATGCCTCAGAACCCTTGCAGCAAAGAAATTCTTCCTAAGAAGGATTTTTAAACTCCCACGTGCTTTGGAAAATTTCCCCTCTTTGTCCACATCACGTGTGAGAGCTCAGAGAAGAGCTTGGCCAGACCTCACGGTCCCACTGTGGGGCTGTGGTCAGAGAAGAGCTTGGCCAGACCTCGCTGTGGGGCTGTGGTTGAACCAGCCACGGCGGGAGCTGGAGCTCCTCACCCCACATCTCTCTGACCCGCTCTCACCCCACGCAGGAAATGGGCTGTGGTGCCAGTTTGGGCGTCATCTCCGACAACCTGCTGGTGACAGGAGGCCAGGGCTGTGTCTCCTTCTGGGACATCGGTTACGGTGACCTCCTGCAGACCGTCTACTTGGGGAAGAGTAATGAGTCGCAGCCGGCGCGGCAGATCCTGGTGCTGGAGAACGCCGCCATCGTCTGCAACTTCGGCAGCGAGCTCAGCCTGGTCTACGTGCCCTCGGTGCTGGAGAAGCTGGACTGAGGAGGAGGAAGAGGCGGTGGA